GAGAGGTCAGCCTCTTGAGGCATCGACCTGGGAGTCCGAGTCCGATATGCGGAGCCGTTATCCCCATCTTTTCCCCAACTCAGGTACTTCCTTCTGCTGTCCGTTCGAGGACGAACGGTTGTTTTAGAGGTGGAGAATGTGATGACCCAAAAGGTCATCACTTGTTTTAAATTTAAATTCTGTGTTTTTGAGGCCTTAAAAACCTCTTTTATCTTCACCTCGATTTGCGTGCGCAGTCCGGGCGTGTAGCCGGAAAGCCGTTATGTGAAAATCTGTGAAATAGTGAAATTTTGACTTAAAATGCATTTAAGTTGACTTCGGTCAACATTTTGGGTAAACGGACCCGGACCCGTGATTTGACGGTCCCGGAGGGTCTGTAGGAAAATATGGAACTTGGGCGTATGCCCGGAATCAAATTCCGAGGTCCCAAGCCCGAGATATGAATTTTTAAAGAAAATTGTTTTCTGAAATTGTTTAAAGGATTTTGAAATGAAATTCGATTAGAACATGTTGGTATCGGGCCCGTATTTTGGTTCCGGCGCCCGGTACAGGTCTTATATACGATTTAAGATGATTTTGTGAAATTTGGTGAAAAACGGATGTCATTTGACGTGATTCGGACTTAAAATGGAAAATTTGATGCTTTATGAAGTTTGAGAAAAATTCTTTGATTTTGAGGTTTAATTCATTGTTTGAGAGGTTATTTTGGTGATTTGATCGCACGGATAAGTTCGTATGATGTTATTGAGTTAGTACGTGTGTTTGGTTTTGAGCCCCGAGGGCTCGGGTGAGCTTCGGGTAGGTTCCGGGGTGTTTAGACTTAGGAAAAACACTGATGTTGCACCAGTTATGGTGTAACCGCACCTGCGGTCCATTGGCCGCAGATGCGGACACGCAGGTGCGCATAGTTGGTCGCAGATGCGGTCTAGCTTTGAAAAAGCGGATATTTTTTCGCAGGAGCGGGCCTTTTCTCGTAGGTGCGGCCCCAGCGGGGCCTAGCCATATCCGCAAAAGCGGCAATTTTTCCGCACATGCGGTAGCGCAGATGCGACCCCCGAGCCGCAGATGCGGAAGTCGGGCAGTGAGTCTTTTTAAAAACATAACTTCAGTGATTTCTTTCAAACTTCTCTAAAAAATTAGAAGAACTAGGGCGATTTCCTCAAGAGATTTTCTTCCCAAATCACAAGTAAGCCCTCACTAACTGATTTCTTTCAATTATCTAATGCATTTCATCAACTTTTATCAATAATCTTAGGGTTTTAATGGTAGAAAATTGGAGAATTGGGTAGAGTTAGGGCTTTTTGATTATTTATGATTTAGACCTCGTTTTGGGGTCGGATTTGAAAACAAATTATATATTCGGGCTCATGGGTGAATGGGTGATCGGGTTTTGGTCCGAACTTCGTGTTTTGACCAAGCGGGCCCGGGGTCAATTTTTGAGTTTTTGGGAAGAATGATTAGAAAGTTATAATTAAGCATTGGAATTGGATTGTTTAATATTTATTGATGTTATTGAATCGATTATGCATAGATACGATTATGTTGGAGCCAAATACGAAAGGAAAGGCGGTTTTGAGGCTTGAGTTGGCCGTGGAAGTTTGAGGTAAGTGTTCGGTCTAGCCTTTGCTTGAGGGATTAGGAGTTGAGTCTTATTTGCTATTTGCTTCTTGTTGAGTACGACGTATAGGCATGGTGACGAGTATCTATACGTTGGTGTTGAGCATGATCGTGAATCCTAAATTGGTACTTGTTGTATTCTTAAACTCTGTTTTAAAAGGCAGAATTGGGACTCGCCCGGGGCTCGCCCCGGGGCGGAGCACTCGTAAAACGCCCCTGGGCTTATGCGTGGGGCTTAGTTCCGTAAGACTTACGCCTCGACCATTGGGGCTTACACCCCGGACACGCCCAACGCGCAGCGTACTGGGCTCGCCTAATAGAACTTTATCCAATTGTATGTAACTAACCTTGTAGATCCTCAAATTTTCTTAATAAATCGTTGACTATTCAAAATTACTTTTTTTCTAATATTAAATCATTAAGTTGAGACTATTTTATGTCATCATTGAAGTAAAAATTATTGCACGTTATCCACTAAGACTGCTATGATAGTTAATTTTAAATAAATCTTTCATTTAAAAAGTATTTATTTATTAACTTTTGTTATGTCTTTACTATATACTAGTCCTATAATTTTTTTTTTATAATTCATTTTTCTAAATATTTTTTTTCATGTTTATGAGATAAAATACTTATTAATTTGATAGCTCGGTATTAGTAACTATTTACAAACAATTAGTTATCATGGTATTGTATGGTGAATTATGTGTCACTTTATGAACTTGTTGAAACTTAAAAATGAACGATGCTTGAGAATCACATTTAAATTGTGAATTATGATTTTTTATGAATTCTCTTTCAAATACAAAGCATATTAAATAAAAGGAGTATTTTAAGAATAATATCAAATTATAATATTGAAATTCTTTCAAGATTCATTACTCCTTAAGAGATACATATAAGATTTCGTATCGAATACATTACTTTTGATGTTTGAGCTGTAACGACGTTGCAGCTAATTTGCATATTATGATATATGTCATACTTTTCGTATTATTCATAGTTGAATTATAATTTATAAATATTTTTAAATAGATTATTTGTAAATTTGTGATTTTAACGTAATTTTTATAATTATTTTTTATTTTATACTATCTTAAAATTCTTGAAATTAGAAAAATTTAAAGATCCGTGGGACTTACGCCCCATGTCTCAGGGCTTACGCCTCGCCTCGCCAGAGGTAAAACGCCTCGCCTCACGCCCCCGCCTTTTAATACATTGTTCTTAAATGATCATACGAATGCTTTAGTGGGTGAATTCTTGATAATGAGTAAAGACTTAGTTTATTTTCGTGGAAGTTACTTATGATTGAGAAATGGTGATAACTGAGATGAGTAGGAGTCGAGTTAAGATTGGTTATAGCTGATTCTCTCTTGCCGGGACGTATATACTTGTACTGTTAAATTCCCTTGCCGGGATAGTGTAGTTTATTGTTAATCCCTTGCCGGGACTGTTATTATGATCACTGCTGATATTATATATGGATCGGGTTGTGCGCCGCAATATTATTATGTATATGTGGATCGGGTTGCACGCCGCAACAGATATTAAATTGGATCGGGTTGCACGCCGCAACAGCTATTATATTGGATCGGGTTGCACGCCGCAACATTGTTATATATATGTGGATTGGGTTGCACGCCGCAACAATGTTAAACGATAAGGGATCGGGTTGCGCGCCGCAACAGTAGTATTATTACTTTGTTGTAGATATTGAACTGTCCTTCCATATTTTATTAAATTTCTGTTGGATTTGATATGTTTCCTCGGGGCATGTACCCCCACCCATTTAAACTGCTTATTCCTGTTTATTTTCCGCCATATATTATATAACTGCACAGGTTTATCTGGAGTCTGATTCTAGCCTCGTCACTACCTCGCCGGGGTTAGGCCAGACACTTACCAGCACATGGGGTCGATTGTGCTGATACTACACTCTGCACTCTGTGCAGATACCGAGGCAGCACTGGGACAGCAGCAGTAGTTCAGAAGTCAGCCTTCAGTCCACCGAGACACCGAGGTAGCCCTGCAGGCGTCCGCAGGCCCGACGTCTCCTCTATCTTTTATTATGTTCTGTTATCTCTTGTATTCGAGACAAACAGTGTTACTTTCTTTCAAACAGTTGTATGTAGAAATCTTAGTAGTCCGTGAATGATGTGACACCAGTTTCTAGGTAGAGGCATATGTGGATTTCCTTATCATTTTGGTTAATTTTATCTAAGTTTTCCGCTTAAATCTCATATTCCGTTGTTATTTAAATGTTTATCGCTTGTTAATATATGTTGTAAAAAGGATTAAAACAAAAGAGTTAAGAATTCATAATTTCGAGGCTTGCCTAGCTTCTACGAGTAGGCGCCATCACGACTCCCGAGGGTGGGAAATCCGGGTCGTGACAAGCCCCTTCTCCACCTTCTGAATGAGGTCGATCGTCCGTTTTAACTCAAAAATCAATTGGTGAAAACATAAAAACTATTAGCAATTCTCATATTGCAGATGGGTGAAAATTATTTTGATCCCCCAACTTCACCTTAAAAATTAAATTCCTCCTACAACATTAAACAATAGATATTTTCTCCTCAAAACTCAATTGTATTTTTAAAATGTTTATTTTATCCTCAATTTTATCAGCCTTGGTCTATATTTTTTTTTTTTTCTAATATCACAATATTTTTCTTAATTTATGTTATGAATTTACCTATAGTGAAAATAATATTTTAAAATTTTAAAATAAAATAAAAATAATCAATCATATATAATTTATTAATGAAAGAACTGCGCACAACTAAAATATTAGAATAAAAGATCTTGCTAAAATCAATCAAATAAAAGTTAGCGGTAATATAAAAAATAATAATTAAAAATAGAGTTAAACATATTTTATATATATATATATATATATATATATATATATATGTGTGTGTGTGTGTGTGTGTGTGTGTGTGTGTGTGTGTGTGTGTGAGAGAGAGAGAGAGAGAGAGAGAGAGAGAGAGAGAGAATATATGTAATAAAGAATAAAAAGAGAAAGTAAAACTTAAATATATATATTTAATATTAAAGTAACAATTAAAAAAGAGTTACCGATAAATTTTATTACAAATTCAGAAAAATACTATTCTAATTAAATTTTATTGAGCTTTAATATAAAAATCATAATAATATATTTAGTTAAGTGTTTTACCAATTTAAATATAATAAAAAAATTATATGCGCAGAGGAGGAATTAAAAAAGGTCGAGGATATAGACGAAGCATATGATAGGGGAGCAGAATATTTATTGTGTAATGTTGAAAGAGCAGTTAGATATTTAAGGCAAACTTAAAGAATCGAAGTGATTTTTACCCATTGCACATAGAAAATGAAAATTGTTAAACGCTTCAGCGAAATATAGTTAATACTTAATATTGCAATATTTGTAGGGTGCTGTAGCATCAATCATATTGCCTCTTTCGTCGAAATTCTATGGATATCGTTGAGCATCTCTTTTCTCCTACCGAAAGAGTTCTGATGGATGCTCCTCTCAAATTTTTCACTTTGAATGTTTCTGATTTTGCATACCAAATAGTGCGAAGTAATTTACAAGTCTTCAACTGTCCAATCCAAGGTATTCTCTACATAAATCGATGTCGATGAATCAAAATTAATTCAATCCAACAACGAAAAGTTGCATCTCGAAGCTTAGCCTTGGGTCCCTATTCTTCGCCGTAAATTTTTCAAAGAAATTTCATTCTGAATATTTCATGTATCCCTCTGGCCCAACATGAGGAAAAGTATAGACCTCTTACCTAAACCAACCGGAAAGTGTTGCTCAAGAAAGTTATCAGTCTCATTCAAAAGGCCGATTATCTTCCTACCATTAACAATTAACAAGGTAAAATAAAATTTACTCTATTGACTACCCCTCCATTCTGACATTTTAACTTTCACGTCCAGTGGTTTGGTAAATTCCATTCGAACATAATGGAAAATTTATCTTTCGTAAGTCTCCGTACCCAAAGTCTTTTCAAAAGAAAAACCGTCACGCAGAAATAGCAATATTAGCAGGCTTAGACAATGCTTCATTTTTCCATTCTAGATGATTTGGCATTCAGACAACACCACAACCACAACCAAACAAGATGATGGCAAAAAGCGAGCAAACGCACAGTGCTAGGAATTGCGAGTCATAAAGTCTACCTTTCACTTGGGATCACCAATCCTCCTGGTGTTCATGATTTTCTTTCCTGTCGAGCAACAAACACCAAATGATCATATACACGAGAGAGAGAGAGAGAGAGAGAGAGAGAGAGAGAGAGAGAGTACAACTATAAACCTTTATGTTCTGTCAGATAAATCCAAGTCTCTTCTAACAGCTCTTAGAAGTCTTAACAGCAGTTCACAGTCCACTGCTATTTCCCTCACTTCTTCAAGAGTCCATATTACACATTCACTTATCTCACCTCAACCAAAATGAACAAACTAATTTTGACCTAATTATAACGGTTTTTGCAATCTCATATAGACTGTTATCATCTGCAGTTAGATGTCAGCATCAAGAAAATTCCCAGAAAGCGTTACCTGCCAAAGCAATGAGAGAGGTGTCATACACAATTGGAATTTATCACACATCACAATGCAAACAAGAATATAATAATGAGATCAACCAGAGACTAGGGCTCCCCGGGAATCATTATGCTCAGTGAAGAACATCAAGTGCAACAGCTATAACTGATCGCATTGGATTAAATGGTGTCCCATTTACAAAAAACAAAATCAAGCAACCAAATCATCAGTAGCATCAGTCTGATGCCCAAGGCCCCAACTATGAGCAATAAACAAATCCGCCTGTGACCTCTCTCCTCCGGGATAATTAGACAAAATCTGGCTGTGATTTTTTTTAATCCTTCTTTTTATAATGTAAATTGAATTTTATTCAAAACTCAATACCAGAAAAAAGAACTTTTTCTTTACATGGTAGTGACGACCATGAGACATAAGTTATTATTCTTAACCACCAACAAGCAAAACCTGATGAGATTTAACAACTGGCATCACTTCAAAGCCTATAGTCCTATATTTAGGATCCACCATCAGTTTTAAAACAGGTCAACTGGGTCTGTTCATATTTTAAGACAGCCACACGTGAGATCCAAACAAAGCTAAGTAACAAATCAGAACTTCTAGTCAAAATTATTTTCTAAAAAAAAAAAAAAGAATACTTGAGATGCCAATCATAAACCAGTTCATATTACCCTCTTATTCAGGTATCTAACAAAGAGTAGAATCACAACTCCGTTGCTTGTCATCTAAATGCATTATTTCCATAAACAAATGATTGGTGAGACAAAAGCTTCAAAGAGGCAATCGGATTTTGGTCAATAATCAAAGGTTTCACCTTAATGTTCACCATAAATACTAGCATCATTATATTAAAATGTCAGTACACATCGTCTTCATGTATACTGCAATCTCTTTCCTTAGGTAAGTAAGGAATATATAAATGTATATTTATTCCTGCATAATGAAACCTCCGAGAAGGAAATTGAAAAATAGAGGGGAATAACTTGTTCTTGCCATGTACCTTTTCGCCTAGTTTGAACGGAGGAAGACCCTTATAAGGACATGTACTGCAACGGAAAGCATCACCTAGACCACACTGTCAACATAGAAGACATGTCCCAGAAAAAACAATTAACAAGAAGACTAATTGCAACACTCAAAGGCTGATCAATGAAGGTAATAATCAAAAGAAAGAAAACCAACTAGTTGTCCAGCTGTCTGCTAAATCACACTACAACACCAATCAACAACCAAATATACAAGTATATCAGTAGATGACCGTGCACTTGAAAATAGATTTTCAGTTTTCTGCAGAAACTACTCAACTAAAGTACTCCCTCCTATACACTCAAATTAGATGTGCTAGCTTGACGACTAGTAAAGATATTAGCGTATGCACCTATTCAAAAATTTATTAGAAATTCAGAGTTGAATTGAGATCGTGAAAGGCAACTACCAGTATATATAGATAGTAAATTTCGTAGAAAACTGTACAAAAATGAGCAAATTTTTTACTTTTGTATAGCCACCAAACAATTCTTTTTTAAAAGGCTAAAAGTTAACACCATTCTGAATACTTCGAAAGAAGAATTTTTTCATTCAAAGAGGTGCGTTATTTGAGACATACACTGCCACAGGCTGACTGAGGATTGTTCAGCTGTTCCGCCGTTGGTCCAAGTTGCACCTTTGTTTCAGCTTCAGCCCTTCCGCACGTACAATTTTTGCATGCTTTCTTTGTCTTTCCAACTTCACAATCACCAACTGCACCACCAAGTGTACAACAAATTGAGTTCAAAATACTAATGGAGAAACTGATAATGTCATAGTTAGGCAATCCTGGTGCACGTTATTACCACTTGGCAATTGAGGTTTCTTCAGATCTTCTTCACTGAGAAGGCTATCCTCATCAATGAGATCTGAATCATCATCAATCTGAACTTTCGGCAAACTTTTTGTGACTTTCTTGATAGAGAAGGATGAACCAACCTTCCATGAAGGTTTCTTTGCTGTTATCTGTTCAGAGATTAAATTCACCACACAATTTATTTGAGTCAAGATCAATAACTTCAAGGTTTTTTTACAACAACAACTATGTCTCAATCTCAAGCAAGTAGGAGAGTCGGGTGTTTGTCTATCCTCTTTGGGCCCAAATCATTCCATCGCAATTATTTATCTTTAAAACAAACATGGGTTCTCTAAAATTAAGTCTCTAAATTTCACATGTATCCCTATAACACCATCACATATATAGCCAAACTGAAGGACTCCTAAAACACTGGACTTAATCTAAGTGTTCATATAATGAATAACTTCAAGGCTTCCTTAAATAACTTCAACATATGAGAGTGGTGCGACGATCAGTACAAAACTGAATAAACTTCAAATTTATCTAAATGTCAAGAGTTGCAAATTTGATGTCGCACAAATAACAATGAAGCAATGAGCGTCCTCATGCCATGAAATAGGTGTTATGCCAATTTAACTTCATCATAGAAAAGGTGTTATGAGAATCTAAAATGGAAGAAGGAACTTAATAGTTTTCTGATAAAAGAATCATTGTATTGAAGGGGGTTGGAGGAAAACAGGAAGCTAAATAAAGGCAGATGGATATAATACTAACCACGAAAGACTGGCCAGCTTCAAATGACTGTGCATCAGAGAATCCAGCCAACAATAATGTGCGCTCATGGGTGGAGTTTGCCTGCAATTCAGATGGAAAGGACAATTCACACATGCATACTAATTTTCCACGAAAAAATACGCACAAAGGGAGGATTCAGTAACCTTCGAGATTAACTGAGAACTTAGACTAAGTAGGACTGTTCCACCTGGCTTCAACACTCTTGAGATGTCCCCACACAATTTATCACTAGGAAACTCGAGAGACCTACAGATGAGAGCAACGATATCCATAGAAGCAGACTTCACTGATGTCAGGCCTGTAATAACCAGAGGTTAACACAGAGAAAAGATTCAACATCACAAGAATCTAGGGCCACGGGGCAAGCACTTACAAAAGAGTGGTATTAGACTTAAGCAGAGAGCACAGAAAAGGAAAAGGAAAAAGAAAAATAAAGGAAGAAGACAAGCTCCCTTTCTATCCTAACCCACTTGGGAATTTATTATCCGAGGATGCTTCCCCACCCCTACACCCCTCTGTATCTTTTCCTTTTGATCAGTAAAGTATTGGAACCGTATTGGATCACGGCGATCTCTGTCTGTCTCGTTCCTCTCTTACATACCAATTTCATGTTTTCATCACATCATTACGGTGAAGAAGAGCTTTTTCCATTTGTCTCAGAGTTAATAATCTAATATATGAAATAAGCAAGGGCTCTGGATGCTATACAATTAAGTAAATAAAACCCATAACAAGTAAAACCATAGAGTAGTCCTTCTTTATCTTTTTAGTTTAAATTGGCTCGAACCTCTTTAGCTTCTTTCTTCTTCAAGCAGCTTCCTATTTTCCAACAATTTTCTCTTCCAATTTTTTTTTTAATCAGTATTTTCACTTCCAATTTATCCAAACGGCTTCCTTGAGCTCATCTTTATCTTCAATAACTACCAATCAGAATATTCCCAGAGGCTTCAAATTGCTGCCACTTGGACTCAGATTAACTGATATTGATCCCTCAATTCTGATATTTGATCCGCACTAATTTAATTCTGAAAAAACCGGTCGGATATTTGATCCACACAAGAAAGAGCTACATCACAAAAATAGACACAATTCTTAGATTAATATTGCAATTCCAACATACTGATTAGTCTCTGGACAAAGGACATCTTAATAATTGGCACCACAATCTATTATTGTGTACTAGGTTGCCCTCAAATCACATACAACACAAAACACTAGTCCTCAGACTTGTCAAACACGAAAAGCTTAGAAATGTGTCAAGATCTACAAATGCTTTAAGCATAAAACCCAATTTTCATTGTCAAATCGAAAAGATAATCTTCAAAATGCTATAGAAGCAAAGCATTAGTTATTTGGACAAGACAAAAGGCTAGCCCAACTGCCTGAGACTTGAGAATGTGATTGGAGGCTCCTTATTGGTATGCCATTAGAAAACCATGAATTTAATAAAAACCACATAGACTAGCAAACAGTGTCATCAAAATGAGTCACTCGTAGTCACAGCATAAGCAGAGCAGAGAGGTCATAAGGGAGAAAATTTACTCCGGGATGAAGCTTGAGTTATAATATTAGGGTCCAACTTCTCAATCCCCTCTTTCCTTACGATGCGGATTGCACTGGATACCACACTAACTGGTACCATAACATCCTCAGCAAGCACCAGTACATTACCGCCTCCAATTTGGCCGTCCTACAAAAGAATGGAAGCAAACATACATGTTCAAAGTAAGAACATAGACGTGAATATTATCGAAATTTTACATCACAGAAACTAAGTTAGCAAGAAAATGACTCATCCCCTCCTAATCCAAAATAAGGGCAAAAAATGATCAAATGATCTTCAAAGCGTCGTAAATTTAAACTATGAATTAATTCAATTTCCTCCACTCATTCTCACCATAGTGGTGGGGAACAATCAGAGATTGGAGATCGAAATTTTCGCAGACAGAAATTGAAACGCGTGTAGAGAAACGACTCGCAAACAATTTTTTGTTTTTAATATTTTTTTTAAATAGAGACGGTCGGCTTGCCGCTATATATACGTAACGGGTTAGGTTCGGACCGACTTGGAGTAACTGGATAGGCTCTAAATGGGAAAATTTTAGGGATTTTTTCCTATCTATACCATATATGAAACTTTATTACCAAAAATATTTATAATTGGTTAATTACCCGTCCAGTCCACACTTTTACTACAATTTATATACCAATCCATAATTAGGCAGATTCTCCCATTTAAAACGCGCTAAAAAGAAGGCACGAAATCTGCGTTTGATTCTTTCCACATTAAATTCGAATTTTGAAACGTAAAGAGATCTCATTGCTGCGTAATTCTCTCATTCACTACAATTCTAAAACAACGGAAGCTTCAGGAGCTCCAGTACTCAATTTGCTTTTACAAATTCTACAACGCAATACAAATTGTAGAATTCAAAATTGTTCTTCATCGACCTCAGTACTCAAATTGTCGAACCTATATCTGTTCTTCATCTCTTTTCTCTCAACTACACTAAATCATGTCAAAAATCCCAATAATGCTAAAATTGAATGGAAATTGGGATAACTATGGCAGATTTAGAGATTTTGAAGTTGATGCCATTGTGGTAGATGAGAATGCAAGCTGCGGAATTCTGATTTCTACAATTACAGAACAACTATCGATTGATACATCGGATAAAATTGTAGAAATTAAATACATTGTGAACGACAATTGTCCTCCAATGGAGATTAGGAATGATATGAGGGTTAGTGTGTATATGGAGACCAAAAAGGAGAATAAGAACTTAGGTTCGTATCCTTTATGTATAAGCGTAAGAGATTTCAATATGGAATTGGCAATCACCAACAATAGCACAAGTGCAGGTATGTTTAATTCGACATTGCAGAGAGTTATTGTGTTAGTGTGTTATCTACAATATTACAACATTTATCTACAAATTAACTACAAAAAACAATGTACTGAAGCTCATAAAGCAATGTCGTTTTCAAAATTATCTACATAGTTACTACATTTATCTCTATGTTGCTGCAGGTTCGTCTGGATCCCTAAAGTTACTTGAAATTCCATCCTCACCAGCTATAGAGGAATATCAAAGTGAAATAATAACTGAATCTACGCAAACATATATTGAAGAAAGACAAGTTTATCAGGACAAGCAAACTGTAGAGCTGCAATGAAGAATTTTTCTGTGATGCACAAGTTCCAGTTCAGAGTAAAAAGATCAAGTTATAGAAGGTATGGAGTTATTTGTGGAGAATAGATCAATAAAAGCAGTGTTTTAGTGAAGATATGTGATTTTTATAAATTGTAGTTAAACTGTAGTTAATTGTAGTTAAGTGTAGTTTTGACGAATTTGTGTTAAAACAGTCCTTTTTGTTGCTTCTACATCTATAGCCTGTATTAAATATTGTATTTTTTTTGTAGCTACTGGCTTATATGCGTTGCTGAAAACTGTAAATGGCACTTCAAGGCAACGTCAATTAATGATTCGGCAATGTTCAAGATAAGGAGTTTCAGCCGACAACACACATGCTCCTTAATGGACGAAACATTCATACAGCGCAAACGTACTGCAGCTGTAGTTGGTAGCATGGTCGTTCCAAAGTATTGTGATCCTAAGACTGTTTACACACCAAAGGACATACAAACTGACATGTTATCCGAACATGGATTGAACCTAAGCTACATGCAAGCATGGAGAGCCAATGAAAAGGCTTTATAGTTTTTGAGAGGGAATCCGTCTGACTCCTACAGCAAATTACCCAAATATTTTTATATTCTTGAGGAGACTTATCCTGGTTCTGTTGTTAAATTGAAGAAGGCAGCAGATGATTGCTTCTTATACGCATTTGTTGCTCTTTGTACATCAATAAGTGGTTGGCAACATTGTAGGCCAGTAGTAGTGGTTGATGGGACATTCTTAAAGTCAGCCTACAGGGGGATTATGCTTACAGCAAGCACCATGGATGGAGCAGGTAAATAATGTAATAATTTTGTAGTTATTTTGTAGGAGTCTATAAAATGTAGTTAAATTGTAGTTATATTGTAGTTATTTTGTAGTTAACAGAAAAAAATGTAGATAAATTGTCTATATTCTGAATATATATTGTAGTTGTTATTTAATTATATTTTTATATACCTTTTCAGGGCTGCCAATTAATATTTTATGAATTAAAAATGTAGGTACTATATTGCCCTTGGCATATGCTGTGGTTGATTCTGAAAACGACGCGTCTTGGAAGTGGTTCTTTGAGCAATTCAAGGAGGCATATGGTGAAAGACCTTCAATGTGTGTTGTTTCAGATAGGAATGAGAGTATACTGAAGGCAACATCAATTGTCTATCGGGGCATGCCACACTACTCTTGCATGTGGTATATTTGGACAAATATAAGGTCCAAATTCAAGAAGGGACATCTACAATTACATGAATTGTACTTTGCTACAGCACGGTCATACACTCTGGATGAATTTAATGAAAGGATGTTGAAGATTGAAGAGGTATACCCGCGTGTGAAATTTTACCTATATGATATTGGCTATCATAGATGGTCAAGAGTACATGCAACGGTGAATAGAACTTTTACTATGACATCAAACATTGCCGAGTCGTTGAATGCTGTAACAAGAGAGGCAAGAGAGCTGCCAATATATGATCTATTAGAGTATATGAGGACGCTTCTTGAACGTTGGACGAAAGAGAAGTTATTGAAGGCAAAGGGTACTTTCACATACCTTGGGTACAAATTCAACAAAGAATTGGATGACAACAATACATTATCTCAGAAACTAAGGGTAAGATCTGTTTGTTTGGTGGAAAAAAAAATTGCTTAATATGCATTGTTTCCAGAATGTAGATAAACTGTAGTCAAATTGTGGGTAATTGTAGATTGTAGATTAAGTTGTAATGTATTTGTAGCTGATTTGTAATTAAGTTGTGGATAATCCTTTTTAATGATTGATATATTATTATTTCTGTTTGTTCTTCAATTGTAGGTGAGGGCTTCAACAGATCATATACATACTGTGTTAGATGGTGTGAAGCGGTACATTGTGTGTCTAGAAAACAAGAAATATAGCTGCGGACAATTCCAACTTGATGAACTTCCATGTGCGCATGCTTTGGCAGCATTAAGGCACAGGAAGGAAACATACGAAAACTATTGCTCTCCGTATTACACAAGGAAGAGCCTTCTGCTTACCTATGAAATGCCAGTAAATCCTCTTCCTGATGAAAGCAAATGGGATGTGCCACAACATATTTTGGATGAGGTAGTAAAGCCACCGGCGGGAGATAAAAGGCAGCCAGGGAGACCTCACAAGGAAAGATATAAAACATTTGATGAAATAAAGTCAAAGAAGTACAAGGTGTCATGTGGAAATTGTGGAGGTGAAGAGCATAACAAAAGAACTTGCAAGAATGCGCCCAAAAAGAAATGAATATCATGTATTTAGAATAGTTACTCAAAATAAATGTTAGTGAGTTCAAATTATCCGAGTTTTTTGTGTAATCGTTAAAGTTTTTGTAGATGATTATGAAGTATAATACAATTTCCTTATTTGCGTTTCATATGATTTTATGTATTCTGTCAGGCATCTTAATTTGTCATTTTTTATAGCTTAGTTAAACTTTAATATTTACTATATACAAAACAACTGATATTAGTAAAGAATTTATTCAATGTAAAGTGTTTCCAGATTGTTGTTAAAATGTACTTTAAATGTAGTCTAATTGTAGTCCTGTGAATAATTTGTAGATGATTTGTAGTTAAAACGTAGTTTAAATGTAGTTTAAATGTATTTAAATTGTAGTCTTGTTAATAATTTGTAGATGATTTGTAGATAAATTATGGATAATTTATTTATATGATTCCTGTATTTATTTCATCTTTTGGCTGTGTACCTTAATTACAAATGACAATTATATACAGAAATTACCTAGAACCTGAAGGTATTTCAACAAAATTACTTGAAGATTAAAGGCGAATTGTATTCTAGCAAATCAGAGTACTCGCGTTTAATGTAATGAAGATAAAGTGTTGTAAACAACCAAAATGACATATTTCCTACAGTGTATTCAACTTCAACTACAAAATGACATCAACTAAACTAGGAACACAAGACTCTATTTCTTCTTTCTCTGTACTCTAGTCCTCTCATTTTTAGCAGGAGCACCCTTCCTCCTTAATAGCCTGCCTGTAACCTCACTTTCACTGATTGACCCATCTTCTTGCTTCTTTGTAGCATAGTCCCATAGTAGAGCTCCATAGCATCTACGGTGTTGATCGATATCAGAAAGATCTTCTTTTGGGATTGCCAAATCTCCAAGGCTAACATACTCCGCGAAAGCCACCACAAATACACCACAATCGCTACATAAGATCAGATTTTTTCATTATGTAACAATTGATTAAAAGAAAATAATTAAACCTATAGAAAGTGAGAAGTTTTTTTACAGTGATCCTTCCTTTTGCTGTGGAATCTCCGCAACCATCCACTGTATGTTGAGAGGGTCTGTAACTGGTTTCTCAATGTATGCCTTTGTGGTCTTGAAGTCAATGTCTTTACATTTCCCGTAGAAACCAGTGCAAGACAAATACAGAGGGATAATGATTGAAAACTTATCAACCAATGATTCAACAGTATTATGACGGTTTGAAGAAACCATGGAATCATAAACATAAAGTTGCCTGTCCGCTATGTCGAAAACGAGCAACAACCAATGGAAATTCTCTACAATGTTCACAGGCATGATGACATAGTCAACTACATCCCAGGCAACATTAGCAAGAAGTCTATACCCAAGGATATATTCTGCAACATCATCATCTGATTTAACAACCGAATACTTAAGTTCTGGTGGAGAATTTATGAACTTGTCATAGATTCGTTCAATCTTGGTCTTGAACAAGCAATCGGTTGTTGTGAACCTAATGTCGTTGTTGGGGCCATACTTGCCTCTTTTTCTCAAATAATACATAATAACATCAATGTGCTGCAAAATAAAATAAAGTCTACTGTAAGCTACATAGTAACCACAATTATCTACATAACAGCTACAAATTAAACTACAATTTGAACTAATCAAATAATCTAACAGATTGCTACACTTTAGCTACTATACAGAGGAACAAATGCAACATAGCAACTAACATAAGGTCTCAAAAATAACCAAATTCAACCTACAGTTAATATTATAAGTCTATGTAAATTTCTCTACAATGTTACTACAAAGTAACTACAATTATGGTACACAGGTATTTCCAATTCTGTCCAAAGTACCAAAAAATCCAAATTGTACGAACAATCATCATCAAATATGAGACATAAGGTCCATAAAAAGCACAATTACACAACTGAAGACAAAACATAGTAACCTATATATCTTGTCTACAATATAACTACAAATACACTACACAGCTGAAGACAAAACTATAATATAACCAGAATTACAGTACACAGCTGAAGACAAAACGCATATTGTGAATGATTCTGTTCTTTATACTTACCGTGTTATTGATGACTTGTCCTGGGTGAGCAAGGGCATAAAACCAGTCCTTCTTATCCACCTTTTCACAACCAAGGTCTAACCAAGGCTTGATTTGGTTATCCTTTTTGGAAAAGTATTCTTTCCTGTAATAACAAAAAAATATCAATTAAAAAAAATGACAGAATGAATTACATATTTAAAGTTTAGAAATGGTGAAATGAAAGTGTAAAATTAAGCATTCATACCTCTTAGATGCTTTGTCACTACGAAGGTATAACCAGTTGGTGAACCTTTCTATCAAATCAGCATCTACATTTTCACCTATAACAGTTGTGAAGGGGTGTTTGAGGTAGAAAAATTTAGGTCCGACAGAGGTGCTGCCTCCAGAACTATACAGAGTTGTGAAAGGTGATCGTGCATGTTTCCCCGGTTGCCTGGTTCTACCCGGATGAATAGGGGTTACTTCATCTGGTATGGGCTCGACATACATTACCAATTGTGTTAGGTTGTCTGGCAACTCAAAGTCATCCAATGCCAGACCTTTCTTGTCAATGCCTGAACCTTCAGGAACAAGTTCATTCACAGTCACACCGTGAATTGGCGACTGTGGAACGTTATCTTCAATATCTGTTACATATAAAATAACATACTTAACAGCATTGTATAAGTGTATAAGCAACAATTATATATTCAAAAGTATATTATGATACTATACCTGCTTTTTCTACCTCAGCTCCTTCCTGAAATCCTGGTTCTTCCTCAACCATTGCTGGCACACCTCCAGGAGAAACTTCAGCTTCTGAAGATAAATGTAGATGTATGTAGTTATGCACAATATTGTAGATATAAAGTGAATATAATGAGGTTCTGATATTATACCTGCTTGTTGTGCCTCAGCTACTTCTTCAAATTCTGGTTCTTTCTCAACATGTGCTTGGACATGGTCCGGAGAAATTGCAGCTGCAAAACATAGTGAAAAAGGGGTTAATATAATTAGATAATGCTTTCTTGAAGTTTGTAGATATGTCTGTAGGAATTCTGTAGATACCGGTATTGCTTGTGCTTGCATGCACTTGATCACCAAAATTGAACTGAAATTGCTGGTTGTTCTCTCGTTGTTGTTGGTCATTATTTTTGGTTGAACTACCAGCAAACTACAATTTTTGGGTATGTTTGAGTATACTTGTTTCATATGTCATAATTAGTTTCAGTACAAAAATATGTCAATTCTTACCTTTGACTCATCCACATCGTACTTGCTGTTTATCACCTTCATAACACTCTTCACAGAAACATCTATGAACTCTCGAAGGCTTGAGAGTTCCTCAAAAACAGCCTTACTAAATTCAGCTAACTTTCTATCAGCCTAAAAATTAAATATATAATTAGTTGCTAATCTTATTCAAAGTGCTACAGTTCCACAACAATTTAACAAAGATTTGTGCAATACCAACAGGGCTCAATATAGAATTATACCACAAATTAACTACAATGTATAACATACAATAATTGTTATGGAATGAAGTTAAATTGTAGCAAAAAATGTCAATATATTGTAGTTACTTATATTACCTGCTCAATCCCCTTTTCCAACTTCTTGAGCTTGCTAGTCACAGATTCAGTGTCCTCTTGACAATCTGTATGTTTTGGTTCAAATGTTGGAGAAGCATCAATTGGAACCTGTGATGATTGAGCACCATGTTCATCTTCATACTGAATCTTGTCTGGCAGATTAAGCACTCCAATCTCTTCTCCAGATTCAGTCATGCTTGTGAACTGAATGATGGAAATAACAGTTAGTTCAAGTAAATAAAAAATGTAGATTAATTGTAGTTATTATGAAGGTAAATGTAGCATCATACAAAAGTGAAAAAATATACCTTGAGCCACTCAGGCTTGATCATCTTCTCTTCAATTGCAGTTAACCAAATCTGGCCCTTTGTAGCTGACCATCTTAAAATGCGAGGTATAGATTCAGAACACCTCGTAGCAAGCTCCGTGCTGACGGACGAGCAACACTCATATAGCCACACTTGCAAGGCTAATGAGCATCCCCGTATCAGATAAGAATGTACATGGGGATTAAGACGATGTCGGACAGATTCAATAACCTGCTTGAAGGATTTGATACCCCATGGGTATGACTCAAAATTACCAGACTCTATCAGAAAGAACATAAACTTGTCTATGAAAGACACATGGTCTTTATCAGAAGGACAAACAAAATAATTCCAACAGATAAAGAATGCACAACCTCACTGCATCCTCATCGTTTGCCCAAACTTTATTTGTGACTACATTTTTCAAATGCCACTTTTCAACCCTTTGTTTGTTCGGAAAATAGGTAGTCATTAAATGGCTAACATAAGTGGAAGTGTAACCATAGTCTGAAAAATTATTCACACTATTTAGACCAGTAATCAACCCAAATTCTCTCAAGGAAAAATTCAATTTTTCACCCTTCAATAGTACTGAAAAATATGAGTCAGTAGACTTTGACAATTCATACTTCATTAGAAGATGAATTGCTTGGTTTTGCATACAGATTGTGGGGAGACCAAATAAGTAACCAAAATAAGTTTTTTGGAAAAGCTTTAAAGCATTTGGAGAGAGTAAAGCTTTTATCTGGCTAGGTATGCTCGGATCACACAAACTGTGGAATCTAAGCACACCATAATCAATATTTTGTGGTGCAAAGTAATGGCCATTCTGCAGAAAATAAAAAATTATTGAACATTAGTAGTTTGCATAAAAAAGAAGCAGTAATCTACATATAACTACATGATAACTACAAAATATAACTAAAAGAAGAACATCCTACCCACACCTATAACTACAAAACAATGCAGGACATCTACACATGTAAACATTATCTCAAAACAATAAGGAAGAAAAGGGTAACCACAGCTCTATAACTACAAAAATATAACAGTTAGTTCAAGTAACTCAC